TTCCGCACCAAGATCAACTTGCAGCCAAACGCGCGCATCTTTGCTGTCCCAGATGAATCTGGCCGCGGCAAGCGCATGTTAAGCAGCGAGGAAATTTGCGCGGGCACGAAGCAAATCTATGAACTCTTGAGGGCCGGCACGTCGCCTGGGCTTGAGAGCGCACGGGTTTAGACTCGACGAAAAGTTGAATTTTCTATTTCTTTGGCTTGCCCCGGCGAGAAACCCAAGCATGCCCATGTCCCGACGCTCGATTCAGGTATGTGGACGTCAACGGCGAGCACAAGGCCATTGCCGGTGACTTCACCAAGCTGCGCTATGTGCAGAATCTGACCCCTGCAGCGGCTAGAGTTTTGGCAAACACAGAGGCCAGGGCCCGCAACGTGCCAGGTACTCACGAAGTCCGCAAGACTATGCGGCATCAGACGCACAGCTACCGTGTCGCCTACGGCCTTGCTTGCTTCTTCACCTTTTCGCCATCCGAGCGAGACACCACCCTCATGTTGCGCATGGCCCGGGCACGGCAGAATGACCCAGCCCTGAGCAATGATAGTTCCAGAGCCTCTTACCAGAGACACCTACCAGCTTTGGACGTGGATTTCATCCAGCTATCACCAGAGGCGTTGGCAGAGGCGGGTGTGGTTGGCCGTGACATAGTCTAATGTCTAATGGCTATGGCGCTCCCTTTTCTTTGTGTAGAGAGTCTACAGTTTCATCGTTTTGCAACCTAAATACCTTGGTGGAGGCCTTGCCGGCTTATGATGAGCGAAAAGCGATTCTTGCAAGGGACCCGTTGGCTTGTTTGAATGGCTTCTTGGCCTTGGTGGGCTTAGCTTTTCGACATATCTTCGGCATCAGGTTGTGTCCTCGTTGTCCTGACTGCGCTGCGTCCGGCTACCCGTGCGCTGATGCGTTTGGCAGCAATGCGACAGCAGCGGGCGGGGTTTTCGGCCGTTTTGATGCAGCGTACGGGTCCTTGGAATGTCAAAAGAGCGGGGCACTCCACCTACACGGTCAATTCTTCTTGCAGTGCTTCCACCAATTTCACCCGCTGAGCGAGCTTGTCGCGCAGGGCGCGGAGCCTATGCTGGAGCTGCTGCGAAAATATTCTGATTACTCTGGACATGTGACGCGCAAGGTGTATTGTGACCCAGAAGCTTGGAGCGAAGAGCGCGATGAGCTGGAGCGCGAGTGGCCGGAATTTAGACAAAGCTCCTTGATGTTGAGCCGGCCCAGTTATCAAAGCGACCCAGGTCTACCGGCAACTGAATGGCTTGCCAAATATTTGGCGAATGACGTCGAAGCCTTGCAGAAATATAAGCAGCACCATGTTCATTTACCAGATGAGTTTGGAAAGCGACAGCCTTTGGAACACTGCAGAGATACCAAGGCCAGGGACCCAGCTCGAACCTAAACGAAACGTCAATCATCCTAACCTTGAATTGACGGCCAGCGGCATCGTCGCAGGAACCCAGCAAATGCAAGAGCTTCTTTCCACGAGATGCTTGGTTGTCAGAGAGCCCGCAGCTGATTTGCCACGGCCTGGCGACAGAGAAAGACATGCCGCGCAAATCAAAGCGAAGCATGGTTGGGATGCTCTGGGAACCTTGCAACGAGCCAAATATCAACGGCAACCATCCTGCACTTCTGGCTTCTTTGCGCTGCAACGGAGACGTGCAATTGCCTTTTCGGTTTCCAATCACCGTGGACACACATGACCGCAGTTGCAGCAGTGAGCAGTGCGATACCAAGATGCCCTTGTGGACTCTGGCGCGTGAAGCTCAGATCAACCAGTCGGCCCAGGACGGAGGAGAAGCGAGTTGTTTCGTAATAATATTATAAGTCGTGAGACGCGCTTTTTGGCTGTCTTTATTGGAAACACTCTTCCCTGCCAGGTGGGCTATATGTGCGACTATCAGAACAAGCGCCTCAAGGTAGCTACGCGTGAAGTCAAGGAATGGATGAGAGGTCAAAGAGAGCTTGGCGTGGACTTGGAAGGGAAGCCAACAGGATACTTGGGCGCTCGTGTGAGCAAGAGGCTTTGCGCGGACCTGTTTGCTCGCGGAGTTTGTCGAGGAGCGGTCGAGTGCGCAAATTTGCTTTTGCACGCTGAGAGCAAAGATCCCACTTCTGCTGAAAGCATCAAGACTGCACCTCTCACCGACATTGCGCTTGTCTACCCCATACAATTGCTGCAGGCCGTAAGAGCACAGGAGCATTGGCCAAAGGAAACTACCAGGGCCATCGTGGACAAGCGCTGTGATACCCCGAGGAAAATCACAGAGTGTCCTTTCTGGACTGTCTATGGCGCAAGAGGACGGCGCCCCAAGGCCCGAGACCTAAAACGTTTGCGACGCGGTGCAGTTTCTTGTCATCCCATATACAAAGTTTGGCTTGTGTATATTCTATATGTTGTGTTCCTGGCCCATCACCATGACAGGTACACATGCTTTCAGCGTATGAGTTCGCGCGGGAATTCGACTTCGATCTGGCGACCCATCCATTGAGCATGAAGACCCATCAAGCCCAGCTGCAAGACCTTCAGAAGTACCATGCCGTGTTGACAGCTCAGGGCATCGAGGAAGTAGGCAATTGCAGGCGACGACACCTCCGACCTCAAACGCATTATGTCATCCAAGAAGAGGGTGGCCCAGCGTGGTTACCGTTGGGCCACGGGGAATATGCCCAGCCATACCGGCATGACTGGGTGATGGTGCAGCGCAAACGACCCTACGTGCCCGTGCTCTACGGCGCGCAAGGCGTGGTGGGCGAAAGCTGCAATTGCGCTTTGCCCACGGCGCCTTTCCTCCATGTCCCTTGTAGTTTCAACCACATGCGCGATTGAAATGTTGCCAGGCAGCAGGAACGAAGACGACATGGCCATGCGCATCCTTGCCCTATTCTTTCCTTGGGTGAATGATGTTCAAGACTCTTCCGATGCTGTGCCCTACATCGCTGACCTTTGGCCTTCGGATGCTCGTAGCTGGCGTGAAGCGCTGTGTATGCAAGTGAATAGACGGGGGTATCCTACGCAGGACAGGGTGAGACCAAACCGCGTCAATAATATTGCTTTGTGTGCTAGTGTAGCCAGCGCGCGTTCCCCTGGAGGAGGTGAAGCGCTTTGTTCTCGATTTCTGCTTCACTTATTGCCTACCTCGAGAGTATCAGCTGATTGACGGCTTGGCAGAAGACAGCGACAACGAAGATATCGAAGACGACGTCAACTTTGCGCTGGATGAGGAGGACGTTCTGGAGGCCGTTCAGACGCACATCAAGGGCAGCCAGCGGAGGAAAGCATGACCAAAACGAGGAGCTCGACGCGGACAAGGCAGTGGGCAGCAAGCTCCATGACATGACGAAGCACGTGTTCAGGCTTTCGGCTTCCATCTGGCTTGAAACAACAAAGGGAGCGCAGCGGGAAGATGCCCACGTTACCAGCCCCATGGACGACGCAGACGCTGTTGTGGACCACGCCTTGGCAAAGAAGGCCGCGTAAGCCTCAAGGAACCAGGCTGCAATCAAAAATCAGCAGTCGCTAGGGCTGCTTGGGGTCAATGCTGATGATGCCAGCGTGCGTGGGCAGGCCCCTCTCACAGCCGCTACATTGCGAAATTGGCTCTACAGCGACCACGTCTCGGACAACACTAGCAAAGAACAGCACGAACTCTTGAAGCTGGTTGTCGACAGGCTTCTGGTCGAGCTCGAACTGGCACCAATAGAAGAGACGGCGCTGCAGAATGCAGAGCCACTGTGCCATTTGCTACACGGGCCACCTGGCACAGGAAAGTCTCATTGTCTCATCTTCTTGCGAGAGCTCTTCGATCTCATTGGCTACAGGCAGGGCATCGACTATGAGGTGCTTGCGTTCCAAGCGGTCAACGCAGCCTCCCTTGCGGGCAAGACCATTCATCATGCGTGCGGTTTCAGGACAGAGCAACACAGCTCCGGGGACGCAGCAGCGATTGCAGCAACAACTGCCAAGCGAATGTCCTATTGGCGCTGGGTCTTCTTGGATGAAATCAGCATGGTTGGGGCGCAGCTGCTGGGGCGCATGGATCACAGGATCCGATCAGTCAAATCTGACGCCGACAAGTTCAAGTTCGATGGGCAAGGCCAACCAAGGCAAGGCTCGAGTGGTCATAGAACTTGTCCTGTCTTGTTGCCAGCTCGCGGCGCAGATATTGTCAGCAGGTGGAAACGGTTTCGAACTTACGGAACTATATACGCTACTAAAAGGTATTGTGACGTGTGCTTGAATTCAACCCCGAAACGATATGCAGGCCCTTTGGCGGCGTGAACATCATTATGGGCGGCGACTTCTTTCAGTTACCTCCTCCAGAAGGCGGCTTCTTGGGGAGCATCCCACAACATCTTCGAGGACAAGACGTTCCACAGCCAGACGCACGGAAGGACAGCGGACTCAGTATTCTCTGGGAGTCTACACAAGGCGTCACTGAGCTGCACCAACGGGAGCGGTGCAAGGACTGCAAAGTGGAACGGGCTGTTGTTTTTCACTAGGCTGTTGTCTTCCAATGTCCCATCTGTGCTGCCGCCAATTGCCCTGCCTAGGATGTTTGGTGGAATGAAGTCAACGATCAGCTTCGAGCGGGCGCTCTGTCCGACGCCAACTACGACTACTTGCACGGGTTGCCGGTGAAAGGGTGCAGTTTGTCTTTTGAAGAGCGAGCTTCTCGATGTAGGGTCATTTCAGGACCACAAGACAAGCGGCTGCAAGAAGAGAAATTCCAAGAGGCTCCAGTCATCGTTGCAAACAACGATGCCAAGTACCAGATCAACAAGGACAGGGCCAGGAAGTATGCCCGCGCTACCGGTGCCACGCTGCGTTGGTCGTTTGCTGTGGATAGGGCTTCGTCAGCCGTGCTGCAGAATCAAGCACTGGACAAATCTACGAAGCTCCTGTTTCTTGTCCTGTCTGGTCTTATTGCGTCCTTTGAATTTTTGCTTTAGCTGTGCGCTACTTTGGCCGCGTTCGCCAGATGAGCCCCGGTTGAAACCATGAACT